TTTTTGTTAACATTCAACATTCTCCTACACCGCTTGTTCCGCACTAACCGCATTTATCCTGTATTATGCGTTTTTCCCGAAAGCACTGCATCTGAACCGCACCGCACTTTCTAATCCGCTTGTCCCGCACAGCCCAAACCGTTGTCACCATTCCTTAAGCGTTTTGCATGAGTTCTAATTCTGACATTTTTTTTTTAATTTACAACATAACCTTATTTATATCACTAAATAAGGATGTATAAAAAAGAAAAATATGATGAGACATTTTGAGATATGCCATTTTTTATATGCCACTTTAAAAAATTGCTACATTTTAAAAAATTTTGCAAGCGTGTCATCTTTTTTTTTTCAATATTCTCAGATTATCTTTGGACTCATGTAACATAGTTTTTTCAGATCTATTTTATTCAAATATTTCCTTTCGATCTCAAATCTTTTTGTCTCTAATCCCAGATCTCACAGACTCTATTTTTCTGTTTTCGATCTCAGATCCGTTATGATCTCCTCTGAGAAGTTTCGAGAAGGAGTGTTGTTGGGGTCATATTCTTCCCATTAGAATCAACAATCCTGAAAATGACTAAGTGTTGAGTTAAACCGACGGACCGATGACTAACCAGAAGACCGCTGGGCCTTTCTCAGAGTGGATCGATTTGGAGCAAGCCAAAGAGCTATCCGACTTAACGACCAACCGACTAAGGGCTCTCCGCGAATAAAAGAAAGTTTCTAGAAAGTCCACCGCGGATAGAAGGAAATCCCGAAGGAAAATGAAGTTTTCCTTATTGTTTTAGGCTTAGTTCTAGCCGACTTAGACTAGTATAAATACACATGTACATCCTCCGCAGAGGGGATCCAAAATTCATTACCTAAATACTTGTATTCTGAAAGAGCTTTCTTAACAGCTTAATAAAAATCTTCTCTTGAGATCTATACGTTTCAGTGGTTTTCCGCAGAAGTTTTCAAACCCTAGAAAAGTTACTAAGACAAATCTAATTGTGAGATTCGACTCCCACAAGTGTTGTTGAGGAAGAACATGGTCTGAGATTAGATTATGGTGCATTTG